CACTTCTTGACGGGTTGATCACTTGAAAGTGTTAAAGTGCGATGGACTTAGAGATAAGCCATCATTAAGCACGTCAACTTGGATGACATAAGAGGTAGACTTGAGAAAGTTGCCGACAAGGAGACTTGTCATTTATGTTTTTCAAAACGTAACTCCCGACGGGTTGGTCGCTTGTCAAAAGTGTCAAAGTGTGATATATTCAGAGRTGAAATATMAAGAACACGCCAACTCGAATGATATRGGAATCRACTCGAGAGAGTGATTTTTAACGAAGAGATTTGTTTATCCATATATTTTGAAAACACCATCGTGTCACTATCCCCGGTCCGGACACCACATAGAGATATGGATGGAAAGCTATAAGATAGTGCAATGGTGAAGTCCGAGAGGAATGCCTTCAAAATAGATGGTGAAACTTAGTTTCGAAACATTGCTTGCTGTAGCATTGCTACAGCATTGGCTGCTAGAATTTGTGTTTGGGTCTCACCTTAAGTCTTACACCCTTGCTTCTTTTATATATTCTGTATTCTGTTTGGATTCGCCTTAAAATCAAAGAAAAGTCTTCAAAATCGTCATCTGAAATCATCTCTTTCATTGGACTCTAATCTAACTTTGGCTACAATCTCTGTGGACGATAATCCGGTACTTGTACCACTTTATTACTTGGAAAGACGACGTTAGGCCGTATTGTATACTTGCTTTGTGGCCTAATTTCATTAGTCTAAAGGTGTGAAATATAACCGAACAACCCTAATCACGTTTCTTGAAAGTTTTGGCTTTTTAGTTTTAGTTGGTTTATTTCAGCAAAATTTCCTGAATCATTCCAGTGTAAAATTACTAAAATATACCATATTTGAAGACAGTCGTTTGATACATATGAGTTTTCATGACGATATTTTGATTTAAATCTTATTTTCAAGTTCATTGGTTGTAAGGATTAGCCAAACAGTAATGTCATTTTTTTGTTATTGTGAATTTTACAAATGACTGGTATGTGGCTTATGTAATTTCTACGAGTGATGGCTTTTCTATGTTTCTGAATGCTATTCAACACATAAGCTTGTATCCGTATTGAGCAACTAAAAGATGATATGTACCATACCAATAGTTATAGTTGTTCCCGTATGTATCAGATCTTGATCTTCTACTCCTTCTGGCAGTGCCATACAATTGGTTTGATCAAATCACGGTATTAAACTTGTGCATCCATCAGTCTGCTTTCTACTTTATTGTTTGCCTTTTCTCTTGTTGCTATTAACTTTCTAATACATCACACTATAAATATAGTCTTAATGTAGTTCGTTTATACTTCTTGATGTAATTTTTATATATCCTGCCAGTCATTATGCATTATTATGTTTTGCATATTTCAAATATGTGTGTGCTGTTTAGGGCAACGAGCAGTCTGACTTGGTGGGTGATTTTTGGCACTTTTTGGTGTTTTTGGTCTTGTGGGCTTTTATCAATGAACCCATTTATTTTGCAGTTGAACATATGGGATTTTTTCAGGGCAAGTAACCCCAAACATCTTAGGACTCTAAAATGGACATTTTTGAAATGTACAAAGTTTTCACAAAACAATTTAAACTCACCTTGCTAGTTTAAGTTAAACCTAATTTCCAAACTCGATCTTTAGCTTCCATTGATGAAGACTTTAAATCCCCAAGCTAAACTTTCAGATCTATGGTGCAAAGCTCCTTAAGAACGTCTTCTTTACTCCAAAAACATACACCAAGAAACCTAAGAGAAGAATTAGGGTTGACGGTGAAATGGGACCAAACCCTAGATCAAAGATGGAGAGCTAAACTTTACCTTCAACCACTAGGTTATTCCAAAATCACCGACAAATGTTCTCAAAGGACCCAAATTCGGTCCTTAAGCTCCACAAGTATAAAACATTAGAGGAGATGAAGAATGGTGGGAAGAAATGAGTCAAAACCCTGAAAACCAACCTTTAAATCATTGTCAGACGACTCATGTGACATTGACTACGAGCCTAGGTCACGTGGAAAGTCGCTTGCACCATTATGTACACTACAGTCCAACAATGAGATGCACGGCTTGTGTCACGACCTCATATCGTGAAGGGCCCTGTTTTGTGACTTTTTCTCGATTTTCTTGTCTGATTCGACTTCCATTATCCTACTATGAAAACCATGTAGAACTTTCATAAATTATCGACCTAAATGGCAAAGTGAAAAGAAATTAATTATAATTGGAAACTCGAAATCTCGGGTGTTACATGCCACTCCCTGCCAGTGATCTCCCTTTCATTAATCTGTCTTTTGTATTTCGATTTTCCTTCTTTTTGATATATTTTTGTCTTTTGGTTATCCTTAATTTCCAACAGTTCAATGGAGTACGTATAGACAAATAAAAAACGGATAATTGAAAAACATGTAAAAAGGGGATTGACGATGGGGCAGCAAAGGGAAGCGATGACGTTGAGTGTGTGCTTTGGATAACATAAAGTTTGAGAACAGTAAAGCCAGTATAGTTTTTCCTATTTCAAAACTTTTCTAGCGAGTTAAAGTAACTTTTTTTAGGTTAAAATTTTGTAAATGACCAATTTTTAAAAGTTCAGTACGTTATTTATTCAAAAAAATATCAATGACTCAAACATTAAAAATGAAAAAGTTTAATAATTTATTTAATTTTAAAAATCCAGAGCCTTAATCATAATAAATGAGAAAATTTTAAATTTATCGAAACTTTTCCGTTTATCTTTTAATAAACGTTGTGGGTTAATATTTTTTGTATTGATTTTACTTAGGTATCATTTGTTTTTTAAGAGGTGCTGAAGTCTGAAGTCTGATTTCACTTCTGATTTATAAGAGGTGGTCTTGAAGTTTGAAATATGGATCAGTAAGATTTTTTGTTTTTACGTGTGAAGTTTGAAATATGAATCGGTCAAACTAATGTAAAAATATAAAAGATAAGTAGTTTTTTTTTTTTACAAAAGTATAAAAGATAAATAGTTTTTGCTAACAAATCACTTCCAGTCCCCAAACTATGAACCATTTGATAGAGGCAGATTATGGTTAAAAGGTATTAAGTGATACATTCACCACTTAGAATTTCAGAGGACATTTAGATCTTTTAAGCTCTTATTTTAGAAACAAAACAAAAGCTTTTAATATCCAGACATCTAAACAAATTAGACTTCAGAAGTATTAAGATGTAATTTTGAAAAAACAAAGAGGACGTTAGTAATAAATACTAATAAAAAGTCACTTTTCAAATACAATAATTTGTCTCTTATTATGTTTGGTATCACGAATTTCATTTTGGTATAATTTAAGAGAAAACTCTCATCTCAAAGGTTGTGTGATTGAGTCATTATATATCCAGATCAACGGTTACAGACGGTTATAACCGTTAACGAACAAGATTTGGGAGTAGTTACATTTGTATCAAAATCAAAAGCAACGTCTAGAACTCTGGTTTCATTGTGCAAAACTCTGATTGTTCTATCTCTGATCCATACTTGGTCAAGTTTCTACCAATTTCAAAAACAATTTCTAGAAGGTTTCCAACCTTTTGAAACTCGTCCAGATCATGCGGAAACTAAAATTCTCTAGGTCTAACACTGTTAAAATCCATAAATATAGGGCGCTGCCCTTTGGCCCCCGCAAGGGGCGCGCGACCCCCTAACCCCTCGCTTATGACGATTGAAGATGATAAAGATAACATTTATGAGTATGCACTTTGCACTTCTTTACTCAATTATGTTTCTCTTATCACCTAATTGATCTCATGTAAATCACAATCAAAATAAAATGACTGATGACACTAAAATCATCAACATAAAAGTGAATATTAAAAGTAATTGACATAGCTGATGCAATATTTAAGAAATTAGCTTGATTAATACATGCATGGCAGTAGGGGTGCTCAAAAACTCGACCAACCGATCAATCCGATCAATCCAACCCAACCCATTGCTAAATAACCCAACCCGAAGCAACCCAATGTCTAATCGAGTTGTAAAATTGTCAAACCGTAGGTATTGAGTTGATATTGGGTTACTATTATTTGAACCCAACCCAACCCGATATGTTTTTATTTTTTGGATTTAATATAATTGTTGAATTTATATTAATATATACATTAGACAATTACAATATTATGTATGCTTTTCATATACACATATTTTTAATCTATTCACATCTCTATATAACTCATTCATATATATGTTCAGTAACTGTGAACATATATATGTAAATTGAGAAAATTAACTGAATGTGATATACGTAATAAATATAGATAAGTTGTATCAAATGGTTGATGATAAAAAAGAAATTATGAGTAGAGAAATAACATATTCAATGTTAGAAGAATATTTTAATATACCAAAGTATCAATCCGACCAACCCGTACGAATTAGGTTGAGTTGGGTTGCACTTTGGTTTGGGTTGGGTTGTGTTAAGATTTTTCCAAATCGCAAACATTGGGTTGGGTTGTTCAGATGTTTTCAACCCGATCAACCTAACCCATGAACACCCCTACATGGCAGTGAATAGTCTTAAAACATAAATTCAATATTCTTTTCGCTTTTTAAAACACACATATACCTTCATTTAACACAACACTTACACGTTGAAACGGTAGATGTTAACTTTACGACAAATTCCAAATTGGAGTCGGCTTTAGAAACTACCTCCATCTTGAAAATCGAAATCTGTTTTTTTTTTTTGTAACAGAATAAGCAAACAGAAAAAAAATACACTTAGGGGCCGTTTAGCTATATGCTTACCCTGTAAGTGCTTAGAGTTACGAGTCAACACTATAATTTATTTTATCAGGTAAGATTGTAGTACATCAAAATGATATTGTATTCAACAATTTACCCCGTAAGCGCATACCCGGGTAAGAGTCGTCACCCACACTTACCGAGTAAGACTCTTCATCTTTATCATTGCTCTTACCGGGTAAAAATTTTCACCCTTACCATGTTCATCCGGTAAGAAAATTACCAATAAACACTTACCGGGTAAAAATTTTCATCCTTACCGTGTTCATCCTGTAAGAAAATTACCAGTAAACACTTACTGGATAAACGTTTAGTAAACATCCCCTTAGTCATTAAAATTATACAGTTATGGTTATTTCGTTAACTTGTACCAATACAAAAAGAACGATAGTCTCATCCACAAAACATTTTTAAAAAGACATAGAAAGTAACAACACAACCTTATAAAATTTAGCTGATACGATTACATATATATATATATAAGTATTGGTTTCGGTGAAAAGTAGAGTTAAAGTGAGAGGTGTAAAAAATGATCTCCATCCTTGGATGCATGTTAGGATGAGATGCATCAGATCAATCTGTATATCAAGCACGATTCATGAGTGAATTTGAGATTAAAGGTACTTACATGCCCAAATTTTTTTTTACGCTTATCATTTTAACTATATTTTTCACGCATAACCAGTAGAAGTGTCTCTAACGGTCAAATTCCTTTATTTTTTATAATCAATTTTTTGGTGACTGTAAATGAAATATTTATAAAAAAAGAAAATGTTAAATTCATTTTAATTGGTCAAATTTTTTCCCTCCAGATCTCAATTCACAATTCAAACCCGATTAAAGCACGTGTTTTCGCTTCCCGCCCAATATCCCCACCTATAAAAACCCTTCCACACATCTCTTGTCTCTGCACTGTATCCATTTATACAGCATCTCCGCCGCACTCTCCTCCGTCGCTTTGTCTTTCTTCGCTGTCCGGAAAATGGCCAGGGGTAAGAGGAAGTCATCTGCCGCCAACGATGATGCATCGGCTTCTTCGTCTATTTTGGAGAAAAAACCAAAACTAGTAGAAGATAAAAATGAAGAGATTTCCTCCAATGTCGGTGTTGTTGAGGCTTCTGCGGTTCTCGATCGGGTTTCTCCTGCGAAAAGGTCTGGCCAGAAATTGGATAAGCCGAAGAAGGAGGACGAGGAAGATGAAGACGAGGTGGAGAGTCGATTTATTGGTGATCCGGTCCCTGATGATGAAGCTCGACAGCGATGGCCTCATCGGTATCTGCGAAAAAATGTGAGGTTTTCTTTGACTCGATTTATGTTTTTAATACTAGTACTGTCAATTTGGTTTAATTTGTATAGATTATGGAGGGTGATTAGAAATTAGCATGATTAATCAACTATTAACATGTGGGAATAACGTAAATGTATAAGATGCTTGCTGGTGTTATGGCATACAAGTTCTGCTATATGATTGTCATAACATCTGAAACGTGAGTTTAGTGAAGATGTTCTAAATATATTAATTGAATGCGAGAATATGCGGGTGTGTGTATGCATCGCCCTTTTATACAATCGACATTTTGTTATGGCATAAAAAATTTGTACCACCAAGTTGCAATAACATGTGTAAAATTGTTGGTTAATGGTAATCTCAATTCCTATTTTCTAGGGGGAATCGTTTGAGTTAAAAGAGTACCATTGACAATATGAAAGGTTGATAACAGCCAAATGAGATACCTTGGCAAGATTTTAGTGTCATCTTGCCAAAAGAGAAACTATTGTCAGTCAAATGGTTTAGCACATTTAGCAATTCTGTTTGTTGCTAAGCAAAACCATTTTGACTATGTGAGTTTTATTTAGATATGCTACCATAAACAATAATGATATCAACTTTGCAAAAAAAGTTTTTTGAGGGTTGAATGGGCCTGAACATAACTGAAATTGCTTAATACGCTACTACTTGTGTCAAAATAGTATGCACATAGTTGTACGTTGAGGTTCCATGTTGGTTAGCCTTGATTAGCCTTGACCTTTTCTTCTCCATATATATTGGAATTTTTTTGTCAACAAACTTTTGAAGGGTAATTTGATGGGGTTCCCATATATTTACATTTAGTAATAGAGCCAAGAGTATAGTGTTTGGTACATGGAAGGGACATCACAAGATGAGACTGAATTGGATAAGGCTAGATGAATACGAGCAAGTCAATATGATAATTTTTTTGAAAGGTTTTAGGGTTTTAATTTGACATGATTAGTTTACTACTTCACCAATTTGTACCATCTCCTCATTTTGTCTTGTACTGGTTTAATGCTATGCCAAGCATGAGACAAGTTTTTGTTTTGTTTTATCTTCTTGGAGAGTGTATGTTGGAGTTCCATGTTTGCTAGACTTGGACTTTTTCTTTTTGGAACTTTGCTTCTCTTCTTAAGGGATTTTTCAAGAGTAATTTGGTCAAACAATATCTATGATTAGTTAAAACGTGATTGACATGTTCATGTTTGATAGTGTAACATGCTGGATCTTTTGTTTACTTACATTCATTTTTTTCATGGGGTTACAGAAGGCTGGAAAGAGTGGCAGCTTGGAAACTTTAAAAGGGTAAAAATTTAACGATTAATTTTTTGAAGTAGGATAAATGAGTGCTCAAGTCTTGTTTATGTGGACTGCATACATGTTAATCTTTCTGTTATTTATTTGTGAATTGATAGGATGGCGCCTCAAAAGGAGCTTATGCAAGCCAGGAGGCACTTTAGTGAAGCACTTGTTGATGGCCGTGTAAACTTTAAACTTGGAGATGATGGTTACGTCCAGGTCTCCATTTTCTCACTTTTAAGAAGTTTACAAGTTATTTTTGCTCTGACACATGCAATGTGATACCAAGTTTGCTTTATTGTACTTAAAATGAGAAAGCAATCTTAGTGAGCACATGTAATTAAACTCAGGATTGTCTAAGTATGATTAGTTTGATTTTGCATAGGCTGGTGAGGGAGAGGACAGCTACATCTGTAGAATTGTGGAAATGTTTGAAGGAATGGACTGTGCATTATATTTCAGTGCTCAATGGTTCTACAGAGCCAAGGATACAGTAAGCCATATGAAATTATGCTTACTAAATTTTATTATATAATTGTTTAATGTACTATAACTCTAATATCACCTCTCTATTGCTATTTCAGATTATTCAGGCTTGTTCAGATCTTATTGATGATAAACGTGTTTTCCTTTCTGAAATAAAGGATGACAATCCTCTTGATTGCCTTTTAGAGAAGCTTAAGATAGTGCGGGTGCCCTTAGATGTAAGGATGGACTTTGGTACCTCTGAAATTTGTAACTTAACTGATTTTATATTATGCCATGTAATTCTGGTTGCTATTTACAGGCGGATATTGCTGATAAGCAGGCAAGACTTGCAGATGGAGACTATTACTATGACATGTCATATTTAGTGCCTTATTCAACTTACCAAAATTTGCCACCTGGTACATTTTGCTAATAAGATATTTTATAGTATATGGTAAACATTTAAGCTACATACTAGTAAGTGAAAGGTTAAAATTTTTATTGTATGAACAACCAATTACAGATAACGATGGGGATGGAAATGAATCTGATTCGACTATTTCTTCCGAGTCTGATGTTAATGGAGTTGTTAGTGAAGTCCCCCAAGTTCAAGATGGCAAAAGATCAGAAATGAGGATGCTAGATCTCTACTCAGGATGTGGGGCGATGTCTACAGGACTTTGTCTGGGTGCTAATATGGGTGATGTTAATCTTGTGACGGTATGTAATGAATTTGTTTAACTTTTCTGTATAGGTATAGCTTTGAATTCCAGGGCTCCTAATTTCTTAGAGTTTTTCATTACAGAGGTGGGCTATTGATCTGAATAGATATGCATGTGAAAGTTTAAAATTAAACCATCCAGAGACAGAGGTGTGTGTTCTTATCCATACTTCATCTCTTTTTTATCTTTCTTAGATTTTTATTCTTACATTTGACACTTGAAAATATGTTTTCTAGGTGAGGAATGAATCAGCAGAAGATTTTTTGATGTTGCTGAAGGAGTGGGAGAAGCTTTGTCAGTCCTTTTCCTTAGTTGGAGGTGGTGATTCCCAACAGAGAATGAATCCTGCAAGCATTGAAGAAGATGAAGGAGAAGCAGATGATGACGATGATGATGATAGTGATGGACTTGATGAAGAAGTATTTGAAGTTGAGAAGGTTTTGTCTATTTGCTATGGTGATCCAAAGGAAATAAAGAAGCCTGGGCTGTACCTTAAGGTATTTTAATTAAACACCAGGTGTGAAGGCACCTTAAGTAATCTACTTCAATTCAACCGGTATACCAAGCTTGCTCATATAGAAACTTGGTTCACGAAGTATCAATAAAGATACTGAAATCTGATTTTAGCTATTTAGAGTTCATATTCTGTTTTTAGAAACCAATCCGTTCTATCAGCAGAATGACTTATCTAGATATAACTATGAATACTCACCCATTGCTTTTAAGATTTCTGATGTCAATTTATGGCAAAAAAGCAGAAAGATCATTAGGGTTGGTTTCAGTGTAGCACATTGAAATGATAAAAGTGCCTTATTACTCTTCATTGTATTTGCCAGTTTACAGGAGGATCCCGTACATGTTAATTTCATTGATACTTGAAAGTTATATATAATAAAGAGAACCCCACAAATCCTCCACTAGATATGAACAATTGTTTTATTTTTGGTTACTGTGATTGTGTTACAAGGGTTACAAGAAAAAAATCATACTTTACAAACTGAAATCCCTTTATCTGTTGCATTCTGTTACCTATACGCACTCTCAAAATTTGGTCATATGGTATTTTACTTTTTATATCCTTGTTTGACTAGATCCGATGGAAGGGCTATGGGCCTGAAGAAGACACCTGGGAGCCTATGGAGGGCTTGTGGTATGAAAATGCATTTTAATTTCTTTTCGTAATTCACGTTCATATAACAGTTTTCTTTGACTTATGCTTGATGTATTTGTATCAGTGATTGTCATGACAAGATCAAGGCGTTTGTAGTAAAGGGTTTCAATTCAAAGATTTTGCCTTTGCCTGTAAGTTCAACAGTATTCTTTATCTCTGAAGGTGTGATTTATTGCTCTCAGTCCAATAAAGATGCAACTATTGGTTTGACCCATAAATACCCACACAACCTCTCAATAATGCAACATTTGATAAAACTTGTCACTTGTGAACCAATATCTTGTAACAGACTATTCTTTTTAGAAGAGAAAAAGGTTGTATTTATTTGAGACAAACCCAAAACAGAAAACTGTATATCTTTTTCTGGATGGAGGGAGGACTTAAGAATATTAATTTCTAACCAATCTGTCCAATTTTCTTACTCCAAAATCTTGTTTGTCATGATTGTAGGGGGATGTTGATGTCATTTGTGGTGGCCCCCCTTGTCAGGGTATAAGTGGATTCAATCGCTTCAGGAACAAAGATAAACCTCTAGAGGATGAAAAAAATAAACAGCTTGTTGTCTACATGGACATTGTAGAATATCTAAAGCCAAGATTTGCATTGATGGAAAATGTTGTAGATATAGTGAAGTTTGCTAAAGGGTTTCTTGGGAGGTATGCTTTGGGTCGCCTTGTGTCCATGAACTATCAAGCGCGGGTGGGTTTGATGGTAGCAGGTTCTTATGGACTTCCACAGTTCCGCAGGCGCATGTTTATGTGGGGTGCCAGGCCTAGTGAGGTGATTTAAACCTTTCTTTGTGTGACGAGTTCTTCACATTTTTGTAGTTCAACCTGTTTAACACTTCTTTTGATGTGCAGAAGCTACCACAATACCCGTTACCAACTCATAATGTTGTTACAAGAGGGGTATCTCCTTTGGAATTTGAGGTATTGCTTCTCATACCACTGATAAAAGGGAATATATAAATTATAAAGTAAATTATAGTTGATATGATGTGATTGGAATAGTGATGATACTTTGACTGTGATCTCGTCTCTTTGGAAAACATATGTAGTAGTGCCCTTTTAAGTTCTAATATTTAAGATGTAATATTTTTTTTCAATCTTTATCAGAAATCATGTTTGTCTCTTGACTTAATAACACTATTTTTTTGACTCCTGAAATGATGATTGTGTCATATTAGATTAGAGAGGAAGGCATACAGAACAATGCCTAGTGTTGTGATTTTAATAGACATGTCTTTTGAGAAGTTTGACAATAAATACCTCTACAAACCATGCCATATTGAAATAGAAGGATGCATATTGAAGTACTATTGTTAACTCCTTACTGTTTAGCCCACCCCAGTAATCTTATGTAACTCATCTTCTCATAAACCTTTTGTTTCTTAGTTTTTTCTTCTACTGAAGTATCTATGCTGAATATAACTATGTTTTTATTTTGTGGGTGATTTACTTCATGGGTGCAGTCAAATACTGTTGTTCATGAAGAAGGCCAAAAAGTCGAATTGGAAAAGGAACTATTCCTTGGTGATGCCATTTCTGATCTTCCTCCTGTAAGTAAATTTTATCTTGCCCTGTTTCTTTTTCTTGTGTATAAGCATCTCTTGGGGTGAAAAAGATGTGTTACTTTAACTTCTTAGGTGCCGAATGATGAGACAAGAGACGAAATGCCCTATGAAGAGATGCCAAAGACAGAATTCCAGAAGTTTATTAGACTCAAGAAGGATGGTGAGTGAAACATAACTCTCCTACCAACTGCTTTATGTCTGTTTTAATTTATATAGCTTTAGAATAATGCAATGACAAGAACTATATATGTATATCTTACAACCTCATGATACTAGATTCACTAACCTTCTGTGTTCAATATTCACTTTAATCATGTTTGTACTTTTAGTTGAAAGAAATTGTCTTACAAAGAAAGCTGGTTACTGCTTTAAAATCGAGGATTGATGTCTTTGTGTAGTTTTTGTATGTTGAACACTAGTGTTTTTCTTGAACCAATTTTTGTATTCACCAGGTTAGTTGTTTGGTTATATTTCTGTATGTGGGTTAGATTATGCCTGGATGATTTGTTCCTTTACAAAGGCCTGGATATTGCTTGCTTTTCTAAAGCCTCTTTGGTTTTTTCTATTAGATTTTACAGCTCATTTGATGGCTACAATTGCTTCAATGATTGATAATAATTAGTATTATTAATTGCTGTCTAGATATGCCTGGGTTCTCAGCATCCGGTCAAGACTCTTCAGACCATCTTTTATATGATCATCGTCCACTTAAATTAAATGATGACGATTACCAGCGTGTCTGCCAAATTCCCAAGAGAAAGGTGTGCTACATTTTGTTCAAGCTATGTGTTCTTTCTGTCATGTGGCTTTGTGACTCACTCAATGTTATTGTTTTCAGGGTGCAAATTTCAGGGATTTGAAAGGTGTCAGGGTTCGAAAAGACAACCATGTTGAATGGGATCCAGATGTGGAGAGGGTGTATTTACCTTCTGGAAAGCCCTTGGTAGGTTTTGCATAAATACATGTCATTATCACAAAACCTTGTATTAGACACATTCTGGTATTAGACATTTATTCTGTTTTCTTCCACCTGATAACAGGTTCCTGATTATGCCATGACTTTTGTGGATGGAAGATCATCAAAGTAATTGTTTTGCCTGGTTTCTTTTACACACACACACACTGATGACAGTCAGAAATTCGGTTTTCTTTAATGCCTTTTTTTATGTGCATATGCAGACCGTTTGGGCGAATGTGGTGGGATGAAACTGTGCCTACAGTTGTGACCAGAGCAGAGCCTCACAACCAGGTAAACTCAACTAAAAAGCAGTTTCATATAAAACATACATGTAAATCATGTCTCATATAATGATGGATGTTCTGTTTGTAGGCAATTCTTCATCCTCTTCAAGATAGAGTGCTGACAATTCGTGAGAACGCAAGACTTCAAGGCTTCCCTGATTACTATAAACTTGTTGGACCCATCAAAGAGAGGTAAGAAAACAAGTTGATGATTTTTGTTTCATAAACAGTTTATGACATGCTAGTTTGATGTTAAACATGTTACATAATTTTCGATAAACTTGATGTTTTGTAGGTACATTCAAGTAGGAAATGCAGTGGCGGTTCCCGTAGCACGTGCACTGGGCTACTCTCTAGCAATGTCATGTAAAGGCAGTAGTGGTGCAGAAGCCACATTCACATTGCCATCAAAATTCCCCAACATACAACCTGTAACATCCCCTTCAGTAGACCAACAAAACCAATAGTTGTTTAGTATCATTGTTAAGTTACAGAGATCATATATCTATAGTTGTTGTTGGGTGTGGAATTAGTCATAGGTTAAACCAATGCAATTTTTCAGGTCATTACATTGGCTCACTGTTGTAACTTGTAACAGTGCAACTTATTGGTCTTGGTTAAATTTGGCCATAAATCTTGAACTATTTATAATTACCATTACAAATCTTGGTGTCTCTTACTTATGTGTTATATTGCATTTTATTGGGTTGATTATTGTTTTTTAGAAGGGTGTTTTAGGCTATGTCTGGACTAATTTTGACAAATTGTGGTTATAAGAAATCAACCTTGATAATCTCAATGGCCACAATCAGTGTACGCTTGGAACCGAACCCTATGCAGAATGTGAAACATGTTTCCGAGCTTTGAAGAAATCTCATATCTCTTAGTTTTCTTGATGAAAAGGGCTATGAGTTCTTGGGTAAAGGTGGAGCTATCAAGGTTAAACTGGAATGTTAGTGGGAACGAAAGCTCAGAGAAAGTCCGCTTACCTTTATATTTTACAGGGTCAAACCATTACATGTGACGTTACGGTAGCTTCCAAGTCAATGTTCGATGTTAATCTATCCAAGTTGTGGCATCTTCGTCTCAGAAGCCTTGGTGGCATGACTGAGTTAAGCCAATGTGGTTTGTTGAACGATCATAAAGTTACCGATTTGCAGTTCGCGAGCATTGTGTGTACGAAAAAACAAAAGGGATCAAGTTCTCAAGTGGAATTCACAACATTAAAGGGACACTTGATACGCACTAATTATTTAGTGCTTGAACACTATTTTCTTTTCTTTTAGTTAGAACATTTTTTATTTATACTCTAACATTGAGTCACTTTATTCCTTTATTTTCCACTTCTTTGTTTGTGGAGCTAGAGTAAATGATTTACCTGTTTTTACTCTATGGTAGACTAATGTGAACTTATTTAGGACAGATTGAAGCTGGTTGATGCTGTTGGAGTGCTGTAGCATGACCTGCAAGTGGAGCTATCAAGGATAGAGAGTTAGGAGCTACTTAACATGACAAGAGTTGACTTTTTTGAAAGACATTTTTGTATTTCCAATTGTATTTATTTTAAATGACTGGAAATTAGTTGTCTAAACATAGTACAATTAGACCTTTAACTTTTTGTTTCAGTTGTACTTTTAGTTACTTTAAGTTTAGATTAATGTCAAAATGACTATTTTGCCCTCACCTCTATTTTAGTATATATAGAGAGGTTGGGGTTAGTTTTTTAGTCACTCCTTTCAACTCCTTTAATCATTCATCTTACTATTTGTAGAATAGTTTCTCTCTCTAGAAATACAAGTAACTTTTGGCTAATTTATCTTTCAAGCTTTCATTTAATTGTTTTTTATTTTCCGCTCTTTAATTTCAATCATTTATTTATTACGCTTTCTTGCTCTTTAATTTCCGTCGTTTATTTATTACGTTTTCCGCTCTTTAATTTCCGTCATTTACTTTCTGTTATTTATTTTTATGTCTTTATTCACTGTACTTTATATGCAATTTACTTTTCGTCATGAGTAACTAAATTTCTTAGCTCGGGTGTATGACGGAAATGGTGCGTTTGTAAATCAAAATAAGGTAGACTCCTTTATGTAACAACAATGTTTTATTATTTCATTCCAAGTTTTATAAAACCAATGATACTTCTTGACGAGTTGATAAAGTGTTAAAATACCATGGACTCTAAGCTGATTCTATTGATTGCAAGTCAATTTGGATGATATGGAGAAGTAGACTTGAGAGAATTGCTAATAAAGAGATTTGTTATCCGTATTTTCTAAATTGTTAATTCTTGACAGGTTAATCACTTTGAAGTGTTAAAGTGGAATGGACTCAGAGATGAGCCATTCAGAACATGTCAACTTGAATGATATGGGAATCCACTCGAGAGAGTGATTTTTAACAAAGAGATTTGTTTATCCATATATTTTGAGAACACCATTTGTCACTTTCACTGATTCGGATACCTCATAGAGATATGGGTTAAAAGCTATAAAATCAATGCATTGGTGAAGTCCGAGAGGAATACCTTCAAAATAAATGGTGAAAATAGTTGTTACTAATTGCATGCTGTAGCAATTTGTCAGCATAGTCTCATGCTATAGCATTTTGACATCATTGGTCTACTGGAAATAGTATTTACATCTCACCCTAAGTCTTACACCCAGACTTGCTTTTATTATATGTTATTTCCTGTTAATTTTTAGTTGTATCAAATCAAAGTCTTCGAATTCGCCTTCTGAAATCATCTCTTTAACTTTACTTTCTTCTAAACTTTTACTACGATCCCTGTGGACGATATTCGGTACTTATACCACTTTATTACTTGAAAGACGATATTGGGACTAATTGTATACTTGCTGTTGGTCCTGGTTGTAAGTCTGTGGGTGTGTGAAAATGGCCCCGATCACCACTTGACTATATTCAATCTAACCTTTAGGGTCCGGCTCGTGTTACTTCTTCAGGTGGAGCTTCTTATATGCTCACTATCATTAACGATTTGTCTCGTCGAGTGTGAACTTCCTTTTAGAGACGAAAGAGCAGGGCCGGTCCTGGCCATGGGTCCAAGGGGCAACGGTCGAGTGTGAACTTCCTTTTAGAGACGAAAGAGCAGGGCCGACCCTGGCCATAGGCCCAGGGGGCGACAGCCCAGGGCAACATAAAGCCCAAAGACAACAAATTCCTAATGCCCAATGTATATATATAGGTTCAGTTTTTAATTGGGCCTAAAAATATTACCGTTAGTCAAGTCTTAGTCCGTTACCACCAGTCGGCAGTCCAATAGTCCATGTCCATTATCTCCCTCTCGACGCTCCCGTTCTCAGTTGCTGTGTCGTTCATTCTCAATAGAAATCGATTTTCTTGTATCACTCTCGCTCTCGCTCTCGCTCTCGCTCGACGCTCTCGCTCTCGCTCTCGCTCGACGCTCTCGACTATCGACAGCCGTCTGCCGGTCTGCGCCTGCGGCTGCCTCTCTCGTCGCCGGTCTATCGCTCTCTGGCCTCCGCCCTTTGCCAATCGCCACTCCACTCGCCCGTCACCCTCTCTGGCTCTCTTGTGACTACTGAGTACTGACTTGTTGAGGACTTGACACTTGAGGTTAGGGATTTAACATTTAAGTTTTTAACTTAGGGTTATTAACTTATTATATTACTTATTTTATTTCCTTTACTTATTTTTAATTTTGTTTGATTGGAAAACCTAATAATGAAACTAGCTTAGAAGCTGTGATTCTGTGATTGTGAAATTCAGAAATTGGTGACTTGCTTTGTTGGACTATTTTAATTTGTTTGACTCACTGATTGTTTTTGTTTCACTTGTTACAAACCAGTGAAACCACAAAATTAGAATTTAGTCTGTTTGTATAATGTTAATGTATCATGTATGCCTAAATCCTAATTGAAATCCATGCCTTTTGCTGCCATTTGTTAATTGTTGGGTGGTTGACTGTTAATTATACATACTGTATCATGTATTATAATGTCCTTTGTGGTTTGTCATTTATGTTTCTAAGTGTAGGAAGCCTGAGTCTTTGGTTAATGGTGAGCTTTCAAGCTGTGATTTATGTTTCTATTGTTATTAATTGATCTAGTAGTTCATCGAATCAATCAAGCCTATCTCTGAAGTTTTAGTTTTTCGTTCTGTGATTAATATTCAAGTTATCATCCACCGATATTTGTTCTAATCCCATTAGATTTTGATGTATATTAACACAATTTCAGCAACTATAATATAGTTGAATAGACCTATAAATGTGCAGTAGTTAAGTGATGATTTGCCCTCACTTGAATGTGCAGTAACTAATTCACTTGACTGTTCTTCCTTAACTTTGCAATTTTACATATGAAACTCATGATTGTCATTGATCAGGATATGATTATATGAAACACATGATGGACTAATGGAGTCATGCAATAGCTAATTTCATAGGCAAACACCTTAAGTGACTAAAACTAGTAGGACAAAATTAGTGAAGTAGGAATGRGCCATTGAKGTTGTAGAGTGTAAATAATTGAAGAAGAACCAACCAATTAARTGTTTGGAGTTGGATTAAGAAGGTACGGGTGTTGATTTTGGTTTATATAGAAGACGATTTTGGTTTATATAGAAGACGTGGGATGTAGTAAATGGGACAAGTAGATGAGTTGGTGTTTAAACGCAAGGGCTATAACAACTTGATTAAAGAAACCATAATATATTATTTTGAAGTAAACACTCAACTATACGATCACATTTATGAACAAAAAACACTAATGGATCTCTCGGTCTATGAAGGAAAAAGCTAGACAATTGTAAATTACCACACTTGGATGTTTTTAATTGGGCATCATTTGGACTTTTCGCCGTGGGCACCAAAAATTTTAGGACCGGAAAGAGCGATGTATTTGAAATATTCAAAGAGTGGAGAACTATGATTGAAAAGCAACCCGGTAAAGAGGTGAAATATCTCCAAACGAATAATGGCTTGGAATTTTATTCTGAGGAGTTTAATGCCTATAGTCAGAAAGAAGGCATCACAAGAAACCGTACCATTGCCGATACTCCTCAACATAATGGTGAGCCAAAAGGATGAACCATAATATTCTTGAGAAAGTTTGATGCATGCTTTCAAATTGAAAAATGCTTAAGTTTTGGGCAGAAGTGGCTCTTTACTTTTCTTGTCATTTACTTTCTGCTCTTTACATTCAGTCATTTACTTTCCATCATTTATATTTATGTATTTAATTTCTGTTCTTTATATTTATTGTTATTTACTTTCCGTAATGAGTAGCTAATTCCATTAGCTTGGGTGTAAGACAAATGTTGAATTGTTAAATCGAAGGAAAGTGGACGTTGTTTCGCAATAACAACGTTCCACTATTTCATTCAAGTTTTTATAAAAACCAATGATACTTCTTGACGAGTTGATCACTTTGAAAGTGTTAAAGTGCCATGGTCTTAGAGATAAGTCATTGAATGCATGTTAAGTTGAATGATATGAGAGGTAGACTTGAGAAAGTTGCCTACAAGAAGACTTGTCATTTATATATTTCAAAATTATTAATTCTTGATAGGTTGGTCGCTTGTTAAAGTGCAGTAGATTAAGAGACGAACTACCTAGAACACAAGCCAACTTGAATAATATAAGAATCGGCTCAAAATAATGATTTTAAAAAAAGAGATTTGTTTATCTATATATTTTGAAGACACCATTTCGTCACTATTTTTGGTTCGGATACCGCATAGAGATATGAATTGAAAGCTATAATATAGTGCAATGGTGGATGTCTGATAGGAATACCTTCAAAATAAATGGTGAAACTAGTTTTGGCCTACTGCATGCTGTAACATTCCTACAACATTGTTTGCTAGAATTTGTGTTTACATTTCACCACAAGTCTTACACCCATAATACCCTTTTATATTATGTTATTTCATTATTATTAACTCAGATCCAACCGAAGTCTTCAATTTCATCATCTGAAAAATCATTTCTTTCATTGGACTCTTATTAAACCTTTACTACAATCTTCGTGGACGATATCCGGTTTTCATCACTTTATTACTTGGAAAAGATGACATTGGACCCGGGTGTGAAAAATAATTTACCATATGCCATGAAAAATAAGTCTAAGGGTGTGAACAATAATTTACCGTATGCCATGATTTGTACCCGTCCTGGCCTCACTTATGTATTTTCTATGGTAAGTAGAGATATATGGCCAACCCGGGTAAAGAGCATTGGAAGGGCGTCTAATGGACCTTCCATTACTTGAAGGGCACGACGGATCCGTGTTTGCATTTTGGAAATAATTCTTCGGTGGTACTTGGATATGTAGTTCGGATCATGCCAAGGATCTTGATAACAGAAGATCCATCATTGGATATGTTTTTACTCTTGATGGGTGTGCGATTAGTTGGAAGGCACATTTGCAACCTGCCATCGTTTTGTCTACAACATAAGCAAAATATATATGGTCGTTAATAAAGTTGGGAAAGAAGTTGTCTGACTCAAGGGATTTTTGGTGATTGAGTGATCATCTGAAGGCCGAAGAGGTTCTATGTGATAATCAAGGTGTGGTTTTCTTGACCAAAGATCGGATGTTTCATCATAGGATGAAGCATATCGATATCCGTCATCACTATGTCCGTGGGGTAGTAGTTAAAGGTGATGTTAAAGTGGTCAAAATTAACACACACAACAATGCAATAAATTTGTTTTATATTGCATTTTATTATGTTACTTAGTGGTTGATTTGCATTTGTCAATTTCTTTTCCGCCTAAAATCTCGATATAGAACTTTGGTTCATTTGTTCTGTGGACCAATTATATATTGAGCATCTTGCTATTTGAGTGTTGGCCGTCTACCTATTCACTTACTCCTTAAGCATTTACAGGTAAAATTCAACACTATTGCTTACTCACCGGATAAGATTTTATTTACTAAAACGCATCGTATGCAACAATTTATCCTGGTAAGCGCTGACCATGGTAAGAGTCCTCGTCCTCACTTATCGGGTAAGATTCTCGATTCTTGCCTTCGCTCTTACCAGGTAAGATTTTTAGTTCTTGCCATATTCATTCGTAAAGTAAAAGGACTTGGTAAGCGTTGGGTAAACGGCACCTAAGGGGCCGTTTACTAAATGCTTGCCCGGTAAGTGCTTATCGGATAATTTTCCTTACCGGATGAACATGACAATAGTCAAAATCTTACTCGGTAAGAGCAATTATAAAGATGAAGAGTCTTATTCGGTAAGTGAAAGTGACGACTCTAACCCGGGTAAGCATTTATCGAACAAATTGTTGCATATAATATAATTTTGATGTACTACAATCTTATCCGATAAAATAAATTACAGTGCTGAGTCCTAATGGTAAACGCTTCCCAGAATCTTTACTCTTACTTTTATGTTGTTTGTTAAGTTTGGAATAAAAGTCATACTAAAACTAATTGTTATTGATTTCTAAACCCATAATTACTTTTTGTGACAAAATAATGATCGTTTTTCAACTTAGACCACCAAAATTAGTCATGAAAACGACCTCCATATGCATACAAATTTCCATAAACAAAAGTAGTGTCTTATTCATAGAGCTTTCCAAAATCAGCCATGTACTAAACAAACGAAACAACATTCAGCCCTAATTCCACATCTTAACATATATAAACCAACATGTTACCTAGCAAAAGATCCAAACCGTCAATCGATACCTTAAAAAAATCTTAACTCGGCCACCGAAAATGGACACGACGAAAGCAAGATCATGGAGATGTGTCAAGATATATTGTGGCGTGACCGTGGCAATAATTACCATCTTCATCGTTGTTTCTATAATCTTATATTTCACGGTATTTAAGCCAAAAGACCCGCGAATCATAGCGCACCCGACAAACCTTGAAAACGTGCAATTCCAACTTTACCCAAATGTAAGCATAAACGCGACCCTAGTTCTAACCATGACGATAGATAATCGTAACTATGGGGGGTTTGAGTTTAAGGACTCGGTTGCTTATGTCTACTATAGGGGGATGTTAATAGGTGAGGTCCCAATCGAGCACTCAAAGGTTCCCGCTCGTGGTAGTTTTACGATGACAACATATGCGAATATTACCGGGGGTAAAATGGCCACCGATCCTGATTTCTACAACGACATTGCATCGGGTACTCTTAATTTTACCTCGACGACGTCGATGCATGGGAAAGTAAGCGTTTTGAAGATCGTAAAGGTGGGAGCGAAGGTCGATAGTTTTTGCGATATTTGTGTTCACATTTTGACACAAGAAGTCGACCCCGTATGCCATTCAAAGGTGGAGTTCTAAATGTAACTTCAAATTATGTCGATATGTTTGTGTCAACAGCTTTGAATCCATGATTTTTTTGCATCCCTGCGAATGTAACATTCAAGCTTAAGACTTCAACTAATTGTATTTGTATTATTAGCCGCATACTGCAGCGAGATACATCTTGATTTTAGATTTTTTATATTTAAAATGAGATGTTTATCCTATATTTGATTATGTTTATTTACAGTTAGTTATACGAATTCAAATATGAAGCTTTAGTAAGTTGTACTTACGCACGATCTACTTGCAATATGGAGTTTTAAGTAATATGCATTAATAAACAATACTTTACGCATAAAAAGTGGTTTTTAAGAGTTTTTGTCAAATGCTTTATAATAGAGTATAAAAGTTGTGAAAATTTACGTCTTTCGTCCATATGGTGAGGTGTATTTAACGGTTCTCGTATCTTTTAAAAAAATTCTAACGTAACATGATCTTGTGGTTGCGTTTTAACGAGTTACATCCTTAGGGTTGAATTTTCAAATGATTTGGGGTTCCCTGGGTTACAGTTTCTTAGTAATTTCGGTCTCTAAATAAATCACGACCTGATCCTTTGTGGGTGTATTATGGAACTTACTCGTTGTAAAATTCCAACCGCTGGGATACGATGCCCTGAATTTTTGTTGTTATGATTGAAACTTTAACAAACTCATACATATAAAAGTGATTAAATATATACAAAAATTCATAAAAGTGAAGATAAAAATAAATGAATGTAATTGAAAATGGAAAACTGAAATCCTTTGACCAAGTAGTAAATGCAATTATAAAACTAACTAGAAGGGTATTTGTGTAATACATCGAGATACATCTTGATTTGAATGTTTCATTTTATTATCTCTATTGATGTTATAATACAATTATATGTGGTTTTGAGAAAACGATAATTTTTTATTTTTGAATAAAATATAAATTTGAAAATATTATAAAATTTTGAAAAATGATATAAATATTAGTCTCAAATTAATTATTTAAAAGTTCTTATTTTTTTATATAATTTCTTTAACTCAATTTTTTATTGTAGTTTTAAGTTTAATAACGAATTAATTAATTTTTTATTTAATAATATAATTTTTATAAAAATAGTAATTAAGTACTTTGTTAGAACTCAATTATTATCTTAATTATATGTTAGATTTTTTATATTTAAAATAAAATATTTATCCGGTTTTTAATTATGTTTATCTACATTATTTACACGAATTCAAACATAAAACTTTAATAAGTTATACTTTCGCACAATCTATTTGTAATATTTAATTTTAAGTAATATATATTAATAAATAATATTTTATACATGGCTTGAATTGATAACTTATACATCAAAACATCATCATAAAAAACATGTAATGCAAAATAAAACATCATGATATCAAACATCAAGTACTATGTGAGTCAACATCGTCGATAACATGAAATCACTAAGCACATAGGTACAACTCACAATACACATGTACTGGATCACATCAATCGACTCGGTACAAATGTACTTTTCAACATATAATAGTTAAAATATCGTCAATGACACGAAATCTCAAAGTACAGAGGTATAACTCGTGATGCATGTATTGGAGGCGAGTTCACAAAATCACGTGAAAGGAACTCGTTCTGTATTCTACGGAATAAACACTTGTATCATATACAATCAACGTACATCAAATCTACGTTATCTCAATTCTCAAAATCGAATGACTAATTAATTCTAGTATATATATACATACACGCACGCACACGCACACGCACACACCATCATTCGATCTTCCAAGCATAAAGAAAAAGACATAATTGCAAGTTTGTGGAAGTACCATACGTCGAGTAATATCTTGATCCAACGCTGCAATCGCTATCTCCGGTTGCACTATGTTTGTCGTCATCGCGATCGCTATCAGCGTCTTGGTGACCATGCTTGAATATAAACAACCCATGATCCAACCCAGGTTCCGAAAAGATCCAAGTATGAACATCCCAAAACACCTCAATCGGTTGCTTGTTGATCAAGACAGTTTGGTTTCCACGAAACTTCCACTGCAAGTTTTTTACGCGAATTAACACGATCCCGTCAATGCTGATCCACATTTCGGGGTCTTTAGATCCCATCATCGAACTCTCCACCACGATCTCGCAATCTTTCCTATTCGGATCGAATTTAGCCCTTGTCATAAAGCTTTTCTTCCCCAAAACATGCTCTTTCTTGAAGAACAACAAACCTTCCACTTCGGCTGGCCGTGTTTTCATCTTCGTGTACACTTTTTGTTTCAAGTCACCAATCAAAAGCACGACTTCTTCCTCGTAAATCAAAGCCACGTAAAAGTCCGAGCACGGCTCCGGTGATCCAAGAAACTTCGCGGACCGGAAATCCCAATAAACTTCAATCTGATACCCATCAACTTGTATGGTTTTGGAACCCTTTTTTGCCCAAAAATACCATGGTTTGAGGTCAATCTTGCAGTTTGGATGCAACTCAGATCCCATGCTATCGATGTAGATGTTGAGAGAATGAGTGGTGGTGGTTTTAGCCCAAAAGACCGTCACGTTCCGCCAATAGCCACCGATTTGTGTCATATACACACACGTAACTGTGTTTTGTGGTGTTTTAGTTGCAGGATGAAGTTGTTCATCATCGGGGAGGTTTTGAGCCGTTGTGCTAAGACGAAACGACATTCTAAATCATGGGTTATCTTAATTCAATCTCATTATCACAAATTCTGCAAAGATTTTGACGGTAATGAATCGATGACAGGTGTTTTGGTGATCTTGAAAAATCTCTCACGATCCCTTCTAACTCTTGCTATATGTTTATGTATAGCTGCATGCAAATGCGATAATACACATGCAATTTACGTGAATTGGAAAGAAGAATCATGAAAACCATTGCAGATATGCGAGTTATGGAGGTTCATCAATGGCGGATGATGGATCAAAAGAGGCGTATGAGCCTCTTCAGAAAAGGAAGAAGAAAACAGAAAACCTTTTGTACATTTGGTGTAAAAGCTTTGGATAATCTGTGATGCAAAACAAATGGAGAGATTTTCGCTGTGAATTCGTAAGAGATAAGACACGTATTTTTTTTCATTAAACTTTCTATCTATGAAAATTGGAAAAAACAAACAGTCCGAATGACCCTACCTCTTAACGAATCAGACATAAGAGGCTGATAAAAACTTTTTTTTGGAAGATCTAAGACATCTCACTCTGTGATCAAGGGTCTAAATCTCTTCTTACGCTTCTCACTTTAACTCTCATTCTCACACGATCATTCGCCTCCCATCCCATTCTTATATATATATATATATATATATATATATATATATATATGACTAATTAAATGAGAACTAGATAATTTGTGATAACTGTGGGGTCCAATATGAATCAATCAATTTAAATAATTAATATTATTTACTAAAATAAAATAAAAGGTAAATTAGTAAATTTTACGGCTTTTAATTAAAGCCCTAAATATTAATCCTTTTGGAATTTGAAACTCCAAATAATTTTGGCCAGTCGTTTCTTCATCCTCCCTGTACCCACTTCCAAAAGCTCCACATGCTCAATTGATCTCAACCATTCTTGCTGCCGATCTCAACCGTTCTCCTCGCTGATCTCAACCATTCTCCTCAGATCTCAACCATGACGATGCTGAATGGAGAGCCGCACAGATCTAGCTTCTGCCATAAACTCCATCGCATCTCAACCAGTTCGATGGCTTCTTCCAATCGAGAAAAACAACCCATATCGGTTTCGGTTATTCATATTTGCACAGATCTAGTTTCTGCACGCTCAAATCGGTTTCTATTTCTGGTTGCACAGATCTCGTTTTAGATCGGAGACGTAACCATATATTGTCAGAGATGTAACTCATATCATCGAAAAAGTGACGCCGAAGATGTAAGGTTTTTGGATGTAACCTATATATCGTCGAAGATGTAACGTTTGGTGTAATACAGTGGTATCACAATTGTATTCATCAACCAGTTCTAATATCATAGAAGTACCATAATGTATATCACAATGTGTTTTTGTTGTTATACGAAGTGTATCACAATGTATTTTTGTTGTTTTACGAAGTGAAACATAATGTATCAGGTAATGTTGCTTTGCCAAGTGTATCATTTTTCGTTATTTTATGAAGGGTATTATAGTGTGCATCATGTGTTTAACGGAATAAGATTTATAGGAATAAGGTTCACCATAGAGGCAGAGAGAGGAGATATGAGAGATAAAAATTTTAAAATACCTAAAATGCTCTTTAATTAAAATTTTAAGTCTAATTGCCAAAATTATTAGTTTTATAATTTAACCATTGATTTATGGTTGAGTTTGGATCTCCTAGATGGGTTGGGTTCATGTGAGACCAACTTGTTTTCGTGAGACCCGTGAGACTATTTTTTTACACTTGAAACTTCACAGCAAAACGCTGTGAAGATAACAAAAAGCCAAAGCTTCACAGCAAAAACACTATGAAGGTTACCTTCACAACGTTTTACTGTGAAGTTTCAAGTGTAAAAAAGTGGTCTCACGGGTCTTACGAAAACAGATTGGTCTCACGTGATCCCAAGTCTCTCTCTCTCTCTCTCTATCTATCTATATATATATACACATACACACATATAGAGGCCTAATCAAATGAGAACTGAATAGTTTGTGGTAACTATGGGTCCAATCTCAACCACAAATCAACGGATAAATTAGGAAATTAATATTTATGGTAGTTTGAGCTAAAATTATAATTAAAGGACATATTAGGTATTTTTAAAAAACTCCTCTCTCCTCTCTCATCTCTCCGACCTCCAATTTCCGGCCTTCGGTGAAATCGGTATCACAATATATCACAATGGGTATCACATTGTGTATCTTTGTTTTTAAGGTTTGAGTTGGTATCATAGTTGGTATCACAACGGTATTACAGTATATCACAATGGGTATCACATTGTGTATCTTTGTTTTTAAGGTTTGAGTTGGTATCATAGTTGGTATCACAACGGTATTACAGTATATCACAATGGGTATCACATTGTGTATCTTTGTGATTACTTGGTACCTGCCGGATTAATGTTCACCGGAGGCCGGAGATTGGAGGTCGGAGATATGAGAGAGGATTTTTTTAAAAATACCTAAAATGTATTCTAATTATAATTTTAACTCAAACTACCATAATTATTAATTTTCTAATTTATCCGTTGATTTGTGGTTGAGATTGGATCTCACAATTACCACAAACTAATCACCCCCACATATATATATATATATATATGTTATTTCTGGAATATTTACAAGTTTAATACTTCTCAAGTTCCCCTACTGGTCTTCCAGGAATCCTTCCAGTAATCAGTGACCATCTACTAACATCATCATACTGCAAACTCTAACTATACTTTGTTCTTAACAATGATTATACAACATCTATTCTCAAAATATAAACAATTCATATTTGAACCGACATCCCTCTCTCTCTCTCTCTCTCTCTCTCTATATATATATATATATAGAGAGAGAGAGAGAGAGCGAGAGGGATGCCGGTTCGAATACGAATTGTTTATATTTTGAGAATAGTAAGAATTAATATATTTATCCATGCATACATACTAATGAATCGAAGGCCTTCTTTTGAAATCCATATAATTTATAAAATTTGTGAGATCCAATTTAAGTGATGAAAAATTAGTTGAAAAATAAAATTTTATATAAAATAAAATCTCTTTCTCTCTCCTATCTTCAATTTTTTCTCTCATGAAAAAATCTTCTCCCTCTTATTTTTCTCTCCAATCTCTCCATAACATACACATACACATACACACATAATTGAATATACACAATAGGTGAACATATTGTGAACATTTTCTTAAAATTATTATTATTATAGTTTGTGAACACATTGCAAATTCACTCTAAATCTGGATCTGGTATAGCTTGTGAACATATTGTGAACACCAACTTTGTCAATAAAACTAAATCTAAATCTATTATTTGTGAACACCAAATACATTAAGTTTCTTAAGCATGTTTATATTGTGTTCACTATATATTCATTTTATGTGCACATTAGACTGCGCTACACTTCTCTCACCACTTCGGAACATATAGATCGTAGAAGAATCGAATTGTATCTAAAGAACAGGGGAATACAAAAAGTAGATTCTACAGTGTCTCGGTTGGGTACAGTTTCCCGTATCCTCAATGGTAAACGAGATAGAAAAGTTAAAGAAAATAAATGTGCGTTGGTGTATGTTACAAAGAGAGGAGAGGAGAGAGAGAGGAATATATATATATATATATATATATATATATATATATATATATATTTATATATGGAATTTTAAGAAATGCATAATTTTTTATTTAAAGAAAAAAGACAACTATCTCCTCAATCATCTCATTAATTAATAATATTAATTATCTTAAATTGATGGCTTAGAATGGATCTCATAAATCTCATGAATTTTGGAGTTCTCAAATAATTAAAGCCCTTAATGAACTTTAGTAAGTATATTCATCAATGCATACATAATCAATATGCATTGATAATTATAGTACTCATGGGAAAACATATTTTGATGGTAATGAATATATTGTTTCTCACGTTCTCAAAATATAATATATATACATATATATATATATATATATATATATAGAAAGAAAGAGAGAGAGAGAGAGTTCGTTTCAAATACAATCTATTGCATTTGTACAATCAATGCAACCCAATATATTGAGATATTTATGGAAATAATGAGAGTTCATTTATTATGATTTGAATATTTATGGAAGATGAATAAAGTTCATTAATTATGATCAATACTTTATATTAGAAAACAATCAAAACTTCTATGAAATCACATATTAATCAAATTAAATGGATGGTTGAGATTAAGTTGTATTGGTTGTACAAATGTAAAGGGTTGTATAATAACCCACTTCTCTCTCTCTCTCTCTATATATATATATATATAATAACTTATCATTTGATAAAGATGACATGATAAAGGGTCTCTTTTACCGTTTTCTTTCTCATTTATCTGAATTTTTCTTGCATGATGTCACTTTATCCAATGCTAAATTTGATAGAAGTGGAAGTGAACCCATATTTTACTCTTTTTTGTTGGATATAGATTCGACATCTAAGGAAACAAAACTGTATAAAAAAACAGATGGACAACTTTTTACAGTTGACAATGAGTTTAGGAAATGATGTGATATAATCGTTGTAACAAGATAAGCCAAAATTCACCTTTCTCCAACAAGATTGTACATTACAGTGATTAGGGTTTTCTCGTTTTCAAAGAAATGAACCTGATTCGACGACTTTGTTCCAAGAAATTCCATTAGAAATCATATACATGAAACCATAAACCATAAAAACGAAATTAAATTGAGTATGTTTACACCTAACAAGATTTCTATGTGATATCACAACTGGATTAACATCAAAGTATATGCAAAAAAACAATTACGATAATCTATGAGGAGAAAACAGTAGTTGTGAAATTCGATCATATTAGCATGTTGCGTGGTTGAAAATTACACGATGGCTTCTTATACGCTTGTAGTGTGTGTGCAATATAAACACACAACAACATTTTGAACTATAGTATTCTTTTCATATATCGGATGGGTTGACTTTGTATCATATACAAACATATAGATATAATAAGTCAATGAGATATTTATTAAAATCAACAAAAATGATGTCTATAATAATACTAAGGGATTGTTTGTTTACCTCTTAATAATTTCATTAAAAAGCAATCTCTAAATCGTTACGAGGTGAATCTTATTTGGCAAAAAAAATCTGTATTTTAATGGTTCTAAAACCCTCTGAATGATTTTGTATCCTGGATCGCCCTCAACCATTAAGAGCCCTAATTTCATTGTAAACAATTACCAAACAATTATATTTCATTTTGTATAATATCATGAGAGCCTCTTAATCATTCTGACTACTTAATGATTATGCACAAAACCATTTAGCAACTGCCAAACAGCCCCTAATACAACCTAATGATATGAAAATCGTGAAAAGATAATAAAAAGAGAACGTTTTCATATTTCAAAACCACAAAATCATAAAATAGAAGTTAAAAGTGATCAAGAATAAAGAAACATATATGAACCAGAAACCAACCCCAATCGGTTCATATCCTGAGGATGTGGTGGAATATCCTATCTGTCCAAGGTTCAATTCCAGGCGTATACAACATTTGTGACCACTGAGTTTATCAGGACTGATTTCTTACAATCATAATTTATCGGGATTGGTCCAGGCTACCCAAAAAACCCAACCCCAAATACACCATCAACAAATGCTCCCAATTTGCAAAAGTAAAATCATGTTTAAAATGGAAAATCACACACACTTTGTTCAAAATATATGCACCGAGTGACATGAAAGGTGACCTCAAATTACAAGCAAACCAATATTACCACAGTTGTGTACATATTCAAATATAACCAATCTTGCACCATTCTTCAGTAATATGCTTTCCGGGGGTTACCCTGCAAAAATCAGCCCAACGTTAATTGCATCTTTTACCGTTTGTGGATTATTATTTCGAATAAGTTCGTGACTTACGAGAGGATTTGGTCTATGACGGTAGCCAAGCATCATACGTTTTTTATACTGCTCGTAGATATCATCATCAGGTGTTACTTCCCCTGGTTGAGAAGCACCAACACCCAAGTTATCCTTCTTCACATTACCAGCCATAATTGGATCAGCTATGCCACTTCTAGAACTCCCGAGTCCTTCACCTTCTCTCCAACCCATTTTCGACAACAGTCTATGCCCTACGTTGTCAGCTTGAATCCTTGCTCTCTCTGCAGCTTCCTTTGCTGCTTTCTGTGCAGCAACATCATTGCAATTTGCCATGAATTTCTCAAGCTCTTCCTGAGGTATATAATCACCCATATGATGACCTCTTTTACCACCACCTGCCATCACAAACAACAAAACCATTCATTCATTCCTCTAACCCAAACAAATAATTATAATTATATATATATATATATATATATATATATATATAAACCACAAGGCTTGTGGCGTATAGTGATTGAGGTCCTGGGGGATATGGTGGAATATCTCATCTGCCCAGGGTTCGACTTCAGGCGTACACAGCAATTGCAGATGCAGCCACCGAGTTTATCAGGGCTGATTTCTTGCAGTCACAGTTTGCTGTGATTACCCCTTTCCATATATATATATACACACACACACACACACATATATATATATATATATACCTTGTAGAGAAGCAGGAGGTGGCATCTCATCTTTAGAATGCTTTGGCTGTCTCCTCTTCTCTTCTTGTGCAGCCTTCTTCATATAAAATTCCATCATTGCTATCGGATCTGAACCTGAAGGGGCAGTAGATTCACCTACACCACAAAATGCACCTTATAAATCCCTTCAGCTACAATCCATGTAAGATAGTTTCTGACTAGTTGGCAGTGTTTCAGAATTTATTAAGTTCCAGATTAATCTCGTAAGATAAATAATTAAACTTCAACAAGCAAATCTATAATTAGAAAACAGACCTAATTTTGACTAATAATGAATTGAACACGGAAACAAATAAGAATAAAGTTGGATGAAAGAGAAATGACTCATAATGAACATAAACATGATCTATCGACAAGAGTATATTCAGATGAACCAAAATTGACTAAACAAAACATAATTAATAAAAACTTCAAATAAACCATACAGAAACTAAATAACCTTAGATTGAATTTAAACTATATTGGATTAGGATTACTTGATTATTCTAAAATAGATATGTACATATCGATCTAAACAGGTTAGAATGATGCTAACACATCTAAGCAAAACTAAATGGAGGCTACTGTTTCTCATTAAATGGGCTAGAGTGATGCAAACATACCTAAAAGAAACTAAATGGAGGCTACTGTTTCTCATTAGGATAGAAATCTCTTTAATTACAATTGATACAGATCATTACCCACAATTAAATAGAGTCCACCAGTCTTTTTAAGACTTCTACTTTTCTCCCTTACTCTCGCAACTAATATTCACAACCATTAGAGAAGATAGCAAATAAATAACATACATTCTACTCTATTGGTCGCACAGTTCAAGTAAATAAACTTGGTATAGTTTGGCCAATTTTATTTCCTCAAATCTCCGTGCAGTTTAGTCAAAAATCATACTGGGCAGCATGACAACATTACCAAACCATTAACTTCAACTTGTATAAATCAAGATCCATACAGGTAAATATTAGTTGGCAAAACAACATATGAAATAACAAGCTTTACTATCAATCACAGTGGTGCAATCTGTGGCCACAAGACTTAAGTGCCGTTTACCAAACGCTTACCCGGGTAAGCGCTTACCAAGTCACTTTACTTTATCGAATGAATATGACAAGGACTAAAAATCTTACCCGGTAAGAGCGAAGGCAAGAATCGAGTGTCTTACCCGGTAAGTGAGGACGAGGACTCTTACCATGGTTAGCGCTTACCGGGATAGATTGTTGCATACGATGCGTTTTAGTGAATAAAATCTTACCTTGTAAGTAAGCGATAATGTTGAATTTTACCGATAAGGTGCTTACCGGGTAAGTGTTTGGGTAACCGGCCCCTTAGTATAAAACCTTAAAGATAAAAGCAGCAAAATGGATATGAGTTGATTACCATAACCAGATCTTTCACTTGATGTCATGTGTTCATTGTCAGTAGCCTCATATAAAGCTGAAGCAGGAATCTGATAATTTGATTGTTGGTGATGTGATCTTTGAGAACTATTCGCTGCATTATTCTTTCCAGCTCCTGCTACAAATTTGCAAAAGGTTAGGCCAATAAAAAAAATTCAACGAAAGGTTACAATATATGTGAGCATCCAACACGTGGAACACAGCCTGTACAAGGAATAAAGAAGTTCAATCTTCAATAGATCCAGGTAATTGATTGGCTAGAACACAAAAAAAATCCATGATATAAAGAATGCATGATTAAAACTGCCAATAAGGTCTAAATTTTCAATTATCATCAAAGGACAAGTATATACAGTCCTATGAAGAAGAGACACTTTTAAATTGTTAAAATAAGCGGTGATTTCCATCAAGACTGATTAGCCTTTCAAGCACCTAGCTCTGTAAAATTGGAGTTCATTATCCCTCTTTCAGACCATTCCTAGCCCACAACCACCACCGCTTGTATTTTCATTTGGCCGTCCTTTATCAGAACTCCCCTACTTGAATAAACTCTCATAGGAAGGCCTCTACATTCAAAAAACTTTTCCCTGTGACAGCAGTCACTAACACACACTTCAATGTGATGATTAACATATGTTCAGACGCCACTCTATAATTTAAAACCCTGAATGGTTTCAAGAAAAGGAAGTCTGATCGACCTTTTTGCAAAGTAATTATAAGCTAGAATCGCAGAAGCATACTTCTTTTCCTCCTCCATCTTTAGGCTCAGGTGTCAGCAGTCTTAACTCTTACGTGAGGCCAAGGCTCTGTATACAACATTAGTTTGACTAAAGCGAAAACTCTGGGAATTTAGGGTGGAGCATGACTCTTTGCTAATTGTTAATTAATTGTATATATATAGTTCAGAACCTTCACTTGTACATATCAGATTCATAATAGCTGAAGTGCATATCACACGCATGACATCAGCCGGATAAAAGAGCCATGGGATATCATGCAAGGCAAGCATAAGCAATATTCATGAACCCAGATTTCGGTTACATTCATTTCAGATCCATAAAGTGAAATTAGATCACCATCACTTCCTAGTTCCTCGCATTGACCATCAATACCTATGGATTTCGGTTATAGAATTTTATGTACATTGTGGAAAAGTAAAAGGCGTGAAGACACTTGAGGGATCATCTTGTAAAATTTAGATTCAAAAGAGAGCATCGGCATCATCAAAATATATCTTCTAGAATACTGCATATATCATTAGATTAAATTAATGCTAAAAGTACAGTCCTAAACTAGAAGATAAAACATATGATACTCATACCAGTATGGATGATGTACATCTAGAGATATAAAAAAGGATACTAATGTCCATTTGGAAGAAGATACATAGATATATCACAGGCATTTATTAAATTTTCATGTTCTTTTATAGCCAAAAAAATTATAATTAAGAAGTTAAAAGGGCTTTATGCAAAATTAAAATTCTTAACTATATGATTATAATGTCTTCCATGCAACACTAAGATCAGATCTCCATCTATCATCTTATAGAAAGGAGACCTTATTTGACAAAGTTGAGTTACACCAACCCAGGTATGTGGTTGTCTATCTCCGTTGTCTTTATATTACCTTCCTCTTACTCCTTCACCTTGCCTTCTAATTATCTATGCTCCATTCACAAGTGAGGATTAAAAGAGTAGAGTCGAGCAAACACCATGCATCATATACCACAAGACAAGCGCCACCTTTCTAGACTGCGCGCCACTTAATATGGTGAGGTGTCATAGCTAGATTTAGCCATACCTTGACTACCATGATCAGGGTGTATTTCCAAGTGCATTGAAAGCTATTCAAACTGTAGCATGTCCCATACTAGTTGTGGGTAAACTTGCTGCTGAAGCTTAATTAAATTTCGGGATTTGTTGTATAACCCAACTCCTACACTATCCCTGGACATTTCCTTTTGCCGGTCAAGCTGAATTCATTGCTGAAGAAGATGGTAACAGCAAAGAAGGAGTCCACAGATGTGCCTTATCTCTTCTCCTTCATGCTTCTGATTTTTTGTGTTCTTGCAGTTAACATATATAAATGCTAATTATTGCAGGCGAGACTGATCGAGCTTCTTATCAGTAATGGTACTCAATGGAACGTACATCGCCTTCTAGACCTTTTTACACCATTGTAAATTCATTAGCCTTCATGCATTTTAGGATTATGCTATGAGATAGCCTTTGTGTTTTTTAAGGTGTTACTTTCTTTTTTCAGTAAAAATAAATTCTGGGTTAGATTGCTGAGAGCAAACAAGGAAATACTGGGTGTGCCTCTCCTAGAAGTAAAAAAGAGAGATCAAGTCCATATTTTCTCAGAATGCGAAAAGGAGGATCAATATAATACCTAGTGAGACTGGAGTTGTGTGCATCAAAAATTAAGAAGATCAGAACATGTGTATTTTTTAAATTTTAATCAACATAACACTTTCTAATGTACCAAGCTTAGGACGACACCTAAGATCCTGAAAGCAAATACATTCAAGGCATGCCATTGCTGATGAACTTCAACTACAAATACGTGCGGAAACATTTTTATATAGGTGTTTGTGATCATTTTCTGATTCACATTAATTCTCTTGGTCTTATGGGATCTCTTTTTTCTAAAAATTGGCATCTTCAGGATTCCATCAAGTGAATAGTCCTGCTGTATAAGACATTAACACTTGAATTGAACTCAACCCTCAGCGGAATTGCCAGGCTAGCATGAAAAAGGGGTTGTCCATAACAAAACAAAATTGAGGACTTGTTTAGTAAACACCTTGCTGTCTTGTACTTTTAGACTTTAGCACCTAACTGGGACGATCAAACTAAGACATAACAAACCAAAAAAGTTAACTAATCCATAAAACGGAAAAAAGAAAGGTTGCACAGCCAATTTCCCACTTTCAGCACATACATTACACTAAAGAACAAATTTTATGAGCACAGTGCAACAAAAATGACAGCATTTGTAGATATGCACAAACCAGGCTGCGATGTTTGGGAGTCCACAGAGTAAGTTAGAGCTTTCTCCTCCTCAGTAAGCCGATATTCATAATACTTGTAATCAGCACAGCTTTCATCAAAAAGGAACCTGCAAAAAAGCCAAAATCATGTACCTTTTGGATCTCTATTTGTATGACCAGTCCCATTGGTGATCATTAACAAAAAAGGGAACATAAGAAACTATTGCATCAGCATATAGAAAGCCGGGCACATAATTATCTTTTTTTAATATGGCAAAGACTGACCATGGGCAAAAGCCTGGATGATATAAGTGCAAAACAAAATACATGTGCATGCTATATACGTGAGTGCATATGCAAGAAAGGAGAAAGCCTTCATGTAAATAGGATAGAACTTAGAAGAGTAAATTTCCATAATGAGATAGAAGAATAAAAAATGTTCAAATCCCAAATCAAGCAAGTAAAAATAAAACATTCCTGTTCTGCTAACAGATTAATACTTAAACATATACATTTGAGAAAAAATACTACCAAAGAAGCAGTAAATACTTCCAGCACATATGGACTTTCCTTAATAAGGTATCCTTGAACAGAAGGACAAGTTAACAATTTACAGTTTGCATTACAAATACAGAAAGGTAATACGATGCCCAGTATTGATTGTATATGAGAAAACTTAAACTAATACATTTGAGAACACTGAGGTTCAGCAGAGTCCATTCAGATAGGTTTCAACAAATAATACCTCTCTCACTGAATTTTCCCAAAAAAGATAATTTTGCAACAAAAATTAGGTAATTAGAAAAATTCATTGCCTTCTTCCCAAGAAATTCATAAATGATAATATGATACAACAAAGAAGAAAGTCAAAAGCAGGCCCTCTGCCGGTTTTACATGTACTCTTAACATTCTTTTTATGAATCTACAGAATAACAAGTAAAGCATTAAAGCCAATCTATTATGCAGGAGATACTACATGTGAGGATGTGGAAGCGAGGGCAGCTGCACCAAAAAGGCACAATTAGAGAAAAATTTCATCAAATAATAATGCCAAGATGCTTAAGTAAACAATCAATAGGATGAGAAGCAAGTAGCAACCAAGCATATGCTTTGATAGTGCATGGATCAAAGTATAAACAGATATATACTTCAATAGTGCATGGACCTAAGTATAAACAGAGGGAGCCTATACATTGAAATCACAATGAACATACTTGAAAGGGGTATCTCCAGGATTCTTTTGTCGTGTGATATGCTCAAACTGCCTTCCATTTTTTGCGACAAAACTTGCTAGCTTATCTGCAACCTTCTTTATTGTGGGATCACTTGGGCATGGTGTTGCTGCATGTCACTTAAAGAACTTATTAAAACCAAGAGCATGAACAAGGGAATCTAAATTATTCTTGTAGCAGGCGTGCCACAGATTCCAAATCTGTTACTGAACATCTCTTTCCACCAATGTTGACAGAGGTATTATGTATAAGCTGCATTCATCAGACAAGAGTAATTCAAGAATGTTTTGCCCTCTTCTCACCATTACAAAGGTGGAAGCTTGAAATTTTTATCTAAGTATGAGATGAAGCAGACAGGCCAGAGACTGCATTCTACTAGAAAGATCTTTGCAAAGTACGAGTTTGCAAACATAGAAACAAAATCCAAAATGAACTTTTGACAAATGGTTTGCCATAGTAAATTTTTGCTTAAGGATTTATATCAAAGTATTTAAATTAAAAAATATAATATTAACAAAGTTAGATTAAGATGAACAAATCTTATATATATATATATATATATATATATATATACATATGTGTGTATACACACACCACATAGTGTGATCAAATCGATTAAGATATTAGTTCATAGAGAGCTAAATGGGAAAACCGTTCATATACATTTTTTAGAAGTACTAAGATTAGTACATGGTTGCTACCAACAAGGTATTGTAAAAACACTGGATCGGCAAAGCATTATGAGTATATGAGTTCACAGATGATCAAGAAGAATAGGATGGAAAAAGAATCAATCAACCTTACAAGATAATCAACCACATAAGCCATTAATGTATATGAGAGGCCACTGTAAAATCTATATGCCTCATATACATGACCAAGAATAGAGATTTCAGATATTATGCGTGTGCAGAAATGCATATATGATCCATGCAACTGGATAAGTAAGCAACAAATCATGATATTTGATAAAGTTATAGAAATTACTCCTGGAGAATAGAATGAGAAGTAAATCGTCAAATATAAGAAGCAATTACCAACATAAACTTGTTTTAAGGATTGCTCGGAGACATAAGGCTGCTCCAACTTTTGCCTTTTTGTTGGTCCATCACCTGATGTATTACCAGCAATACTTTCATCTTCTTCCTCATCTTCACTTAATTTGACAGCAGGTGCCACAAGTTTTGATTTCTGTTTGAGGCTAAATGCAAGTTTGCCAGCTGAAGAAGACTTGTTTGTTCTGCGAGAATCACTAGCTTTAGACTCCGAGCCACTATTACTAAAAACAGGCTTAGGTTTTTGAGGCCCTGATAAAGGTGGACCCAATTTAGATTCTTCTACTTTAGCACCCTTTTCCTTCTCTTCTTGAAGTTGTTTGAACCTCTCCATAAATGAACCATCATTAACGAATAGGCTAGAAGCTGTTCCTTTCTCCATTGGCAGGAGGCAAGGTTCTTTTAGCTGTTTATAGAAACCACTGCTTGACAAGTAAGCTTACATACTATTCAGGAAAGGAAATGCAACTGACTAATATCAGAGAAAGGAGCAAATAGGCTCCGAGTAAAGGTGAACAAATCAAAAACTTTTATTGAGGGCCTCAAAATAAAATCTACTCAACTTAAGAAGATGGTTCACAACAACAAAGATCAATATCCCAAACACAAATGATGAAAAATGACTACAAGTGCGAGTCTATCCTAAATACAACTTATATCTACTGTGTCATGTTAGAAATCATGATTTAATAAAATCCCTTTTGTAATACATGCCTGCAGTTCTACCTCACCCAAGTGCCTTAGTAAATTGACCTCACAGCGTATGCACATATTGGCCTACTTAAGAAACGGCTATCAGAGAGCTTTGGGATTCTGATAGTGTTGAAAATTGATTCGTTGTGTATAAATATTTTAAAAGTTATGCATCCATCTAAAACCCATACTACCAAAAAAAAAACCTCTTGATTGAAACAGTAACATCAACGGATTGATAAATTTTATGATTTCATCTTTTCAAGATTCGTAGTCACGTCCAAAAGCCATTGAATAGAGCTTCTGAAACTCAATGATGTCAAATTATTGAACGATAGACTGTAAGAAATTTTGACAAACCGAAAACCCAAAAATTTCAGTCAGGGAGTGAAATTAACAGGAGTCTCATGTCCAATCGTCTACCATAAATCAAGAACAGGTAGCAAAATTCAATTGCTTTAAATCAAAGGAAAATAAACAGAAACCCTAATTTGAAATTGACGAATCAATTGTAATGAAATCAGATATTGCTTCTGGATTTCATGAATCAAAGATGAAATTACAGATTAAAACACATACCTGATTGAGAAAAAAATATAAAAGCACAAAGAGCGGATCGGAGAAGGGCCCCGACCGTATTGTATGATCGTAGTGTGTTTCAGGTTTAGGGAAGATTTCTGTGATCTTATATTGCTGTATTCTGTTTGATATGTTACACTTAACCGCCCTAATGTTTTCTTGATGGTCATAAAAGACCCATAACTTGGATCAAAAGTTAACTTTGTGTTATATGACAGAGCCAACTCAAGCTCGACTCCGTAGTGTTAAGCCAAACTCGAAATTGATTCAACAATTTGATGAGCATTCTCAATGCAAGTTGGAACTCGGTTTTATTACTGACAGTGTCTCTCTCTCACCCATATATGCATACTTGAGATATGATGGATGTGGTTTCAGCTCTAATTGATACGATGTCTTAGATGATGGTCGGGACTTTGCAATCGTAGGCCCAAATCCTCAACGTAAGGTTGTTTTTTGGTCTCCAAAATGCAGGGTTATGTTGAAAAAAATGTAACACATACTCTATTTCATCCACGTTTGGCTTATTATGTTGTTCAGTAATGCATTCTGTAATTGGTCACAACTATTATGTCTACTAAACATCTCTTGTACCACAATGTCTAAGGCTTCCATTAAAAAGCACTCATTAGAGTAACTTTAAGGTAATTAGATGGTTGTAATTAGGGATGGGTGACTGAGATCATTTTTTATTGATGTCGATGTTGGTGTTTGTATAATCATTGTTTGAGTGTGACGTGAGAGTAGTCCAATCGATGAGTCTGAGATGATCAACTTCATGGGGAATAAGTCTGGTGTGACCCTAGATGGAAATGTCGGGCTAATGACAATAATTGGTTGACTACGAAGTTTTGAGGAATCTCTGCGGTTGACATGCATTGTGACAGTTGGAGTATGGATTCAAAGTTTTATTGAACTAGACCAAACTAGTTGTTAGGAAATTCGTCAGAAATGAATGACAAATCTTTTATGGTAATGATTACTGGAGAAATTTAGTGAAATGTCTGAGGTAGACCTTAAGTGGGAATCATTTTATTGAGGAAACTTTGCTTAGTCGAGGTTAATATATGTGGAGGCAATAGTAGCATCAGGTGATCTACTCAGGAATGCTTTCGGGTTCCTTTGCCACCCGGGTAAAGTCACGTGATAGTGGGTACTTTGAACTAAAAAAAGTATGGCTGATCATGGTGAGATAAGTTTTTGCAAAGATCATCGTAGTTTTGAATGCAAATGAAAAGCGTAATGTAGTTCGATAAAGGTTGTTAGAAGAATTTAAGGGTGAATTGTTTAAGCATCTGTTGTGGAAGTGAACATTAGAGATCGAAAACTACTTTCGAAGTAGTATAAGTCATTAAATGTTGGGAGACAACCGATGTTTGTTAACTTGAATTCCACTGGTAAATGCAAATATTTTTGTTCACTTTCAGTAGTGGTGTTCAATACCAAAGTTTGAGGTTGGTTGGGGTGCTAATCGTTGCGGAACTCGTTGTCACAAGTATGTCAAGAAAGCAATTGATTCTCGTTTAAGGTCACGGAGTCAGCCAGTGTATTAAGTTGTGATTACTTGGGACTAAATTCTAATATCCTTATCCTATTAGGGATGATTGATTAAATAGCCATCTGTCAGACTTGTGTTCTGGGTAGTGTGGCGTTCTTGAGCCACATCACGCATCTTTTACGGTTCAAGAGCTCTACATGAAAAAGGAATGTATGATTTCGATGTTGGGAGAAATCTTGGGTCGAAGTATGTTTGATTCGAGGAAGGACAAAACTAACGAGAATCAAGTAGTCATAATTGTAGCATGTGAGTGTTTGATTGGTACTAGCTTTCGATGGTGAAATCTTCTATAAGGTTGAGAAGATTGTAACATTCATGTTTTTGCGGTTAATCATTTAAGTGCGTAGATTTGTTTTATAAAGACATATAGTATCCATCAATTATTGAATGTTTCTAGCATTTGAATTAAGGGTCATGATTGTTTTGGGGTGAACAAAAATTGTAGGGCACTAAGGGACCTCAGATGTAAGTTTGGTCGCACGAGAAGTCGCAAAACAACTTAACACACAAAGTAAACTACCAAAATGGTTGCCAAGAGGCTTAAGTTGCTTCACAAGTTTCTTGGGACTCTGGAAGGCTGATCTTTGGGCCTAGGTGACTTTCCAAGCAACTTAAGTCGCTTCACAAGTTGCATATGGCCCCTGATGGTTAAAAACTCGATTTTTCAGGGTTCTCCTCATTTGGTCATAACTTTTTCATCTCTTATCCAATTTGGGTGATTATAGAATCCAAGATTTCTCCTTTGAAGCTCTTTAAGATGGGAACAAAGAGGATTAAATTTTTCTTAATGATTTGGGGTTCCTAGAAGTTGAAAGGTAAGATCTAAATCTTTGTTTCTTGACTTAAGGTTTGGTATTTTGCATCATCAACCTCCTTCTCCTTTTTGTGATGTTTTGCTTGATCTTGAGAGTTCAATAGAGTGTTCTTGAAAGCTTTACACCATAGATCTGGAAGTATAGCTTACGGATCTCAAGTCTCCATTTTTGAAAGCTAGAGAAGAGTTTGGAACCTAGGTTTAACTTAACCTATCAACAATTCAAGTAATTGCTTTATGAAAATCATGTACTTACCAAAAATGTCCATTTTGAAGTCTTGAAGTGTTTTACTTGATATTTGTCAAATATGTTGATTACTTGATATGATTTGCATCTTGGGTATGTTTGATTTACAAATCATGCTGAATGCCTATGTTTGGGTTTTTGGACATTTTGACAAATAAAACATAAAAATGTGTTCTTTTCATTGTTTATTTCATAATTGGAGTTTATTCAACATTAATGGACTCTTAGTGCATTTGGTCTATTAATGCATTTTTATTATTTATATTGACTTTTATTCCTAAGGGGCTGTTTACCAAATCTTACCGGGTAAGTGCTGTCCGGGTAAGTGTGCTGACCCGAGTAAGTGCTGACCCGAGTAAGTGCTGTCCCGGGTAAGAATGTTTACCAAATGTTTTTGGTAAGTACTTACCAAAAATATAATGACCAATATAACCCTATTTGTAATTATATATTGAATAAAACATAAAAATGTGTTCTATTAATTTTGTTGGGTTATAAACATTGCCCGTTTTATTCCKAAGTCTAGACCATACAGCGTATTTCCCTCGTAGATAGTCATAGTGATTCTTCATTTGTCTTTGATTGACAATGAAGTTGTGAGTTCTTTTTAAAGTTTCCGCTATATTGTTCCAAGAGTGCATCTTAAGGCTACCGCCTTGCATTCCATTCATGGACATYTCTTGTAAACAACATTCCAAAAAGGTTTTTACTACGTTCTCTTTCCAACTAACCCTCGACTTTTTGGGTTCCGTTGATTCATCATACGATTCCATACCTATGTCAAAAAGACCCAAACATTTCAAGGTCTTCATTATCCATCTTGTTTTCAATAACAAAGCATACAAAAGCAAAAACACATACAGAAAACCATAACTATTGAATCCAACAGGTTCATAGCTTTTCCCATTCCAATTTTAAGCCTAGGAAACAACCCATTATTTTGGGCAAGGCATAACACAACAGGTTCGTCTTCACTGGCCCAGAAATACGAAGAACTCTACCAAGAGAACGGTGTTAAGTTCGTGAAGGTTCTCTCTTCTTTCTCTCCCACCCACCATAGCCAATAATATTCTACACACAAACACATGCATAATCTTTGATTTTTCATTCACAGGGTGCCTCTATAAAAAACTTGGAAGCTGGTCGATCCTGATGGAAATGTTACTGCTGTTAAACTTGAAAATGGGTCTACCATTGAAGCAGATTTGGTAATATGAAGGAAGATTTTGAGCAAAAACTTTGTATATATATTGTTACTGCTGTACTACCCTCCTATATTGTTACTGCTGTACTACCCTCCTATATTGTTATTGCTGTACTACCCTCCTATATTGATATTGATGTATATATATATACATATATACCTGCTGGTTTTCTAATTTGTAAAATGTACATAGTTAACCAAACAAATCAAACATCAAGAACAACAAATCTTTGGGGTAAACAGGACAAAATCAAAATTTCCCAATTCATTTTAGGTCATTCTCATCAACCAAGCACTTGCAAAACCCATATAAATTAAGAACATAAACAGCAAATTAACGCTTCCCAGAAACAAATTATATATGGTTACGAGATGGGTATGTTCTAAAACTTGAGATATAAACTAAAAAACACAAGAAAATCGGTTGATTTGAAAGTACCTTTTCGAGTAGCCAAGGGAGGATGAGCGACGAGGGATGAGGACCGACCGAGTGGTAGCAGGGAGTGTCGGGACCGCGAGGGATGAAGGGCGAGCAACGATGAGGGACGGTGAGGAGCGTCGCGAGTCGGGAAAGATGGGGGAGCAAAGAGGGAGTGGGAGGAGCGATAGGGAGACGTAAAACCTAATCGTGTAAAGGGGGCAACGATGGAAAAGATAAATCTGACCCGGGTAAGCATTGTTTTCATGCTGTCTCGGTAAGTTCTCGGTCAGAGTTTCGGTCAGATTTCGGTCAGAATGGTAAATCAGTAAACACGCTGACTGCTGACCGAGTCAGATTTCGGTCAAATTTCCTAGTGGTCAGCACCTAGTAAACAGCCCCTAAAGGTCGAATGAGAACCTTAAGGTTGGAACTTAAGTAGAGAACAAATGGGCACTAAGATCTCGTATCCTTGAGGTGACGCTCGGTAACGTGTGTGCACTAAAGGTATTATGACATGGGGGTGCACTAAAAGTATCGAAGACTTGAGGTAACACTTGATATAGTGTGCACTAAAGTCAATGGGTCTGAGGTGTAGTTCGATAACATCAATACGTGGCATATTTTAGTATTTTGGGGACGTCTTATGTATTTTGGAGATAACGAATATTGTTGGGTTTTTAATAACAGTCGACCTTAACCTAAACTTTATGTAAGACTTGGTTTATTATGTGTTGATGTTAAATGTAGATTTGCAATTTGAGTTTTGATTTATAGAAAGAAATTTATTTTTCAGTTGAGTTATTTTAAAAAATTTAAATTAGTCGATTTTTC